CCCCCCGCAGTGCTTGGAATTGTCATCACCTGGCCTCAGGTGGGTGTTCACTCATAAAATGTTGTTGAATGAATCAGTGAATGCACAGGTAGAACCCAGATCAGAGGCTCCATGGGCCCTGGAGGCGGGGAGGGGAGGGGGTGGCGGGAAGTGCACTCACAGCTTCGGTGGGCTGAGGACAGCAGGCATCCAAGTAGCCGGTTGGGTTAGGCAAAGGGAAGTTGCAGGCTTCCGCGCAGGCCCAGCAGCAGTCCTGGGGCCCCGAGGCACCGGGGTTCCTGCAGGGGGAGCTGCAGTCTGTGCAGCAGCCTTGGGCCTAAGAGAGGGGACCGGGAACCAGGTGGAGGCAGGGAAGACTCTTGGTTTGGGGGAGAGGGGCTAGGAGGTGGTGTGGCTAGGGAAAGGAGAGACCCTTTGATCCCAGGAAAGGGATTGATGGGAGGTCTCATCCGCAAAGCTGTTTCAGGATCAGAATGCAGGGGTGGGGTGGGGATGATAGGAATGATGTGGGGGGTGGGCCCTCCAACCCCAGTGACCATCTTTTTTATTCCTGGCCAGGCCTCTCACCAGCAGGCAGTGCCTAATCAGGAGGATGAGGCCCAGCAGCATCAAATAGACGCCCACGGCGATGAAGACGATGGCAGGGATGGGGAGGAGCAGGCTAGGGCTGCTGACCGGAGCTGGGGCTGGATCCCAAGTGCTAGAGGAGGCCTGGGTGAGCACAGGTGGCAGGGATCACAAGGAGGCGGGGCGGGGAGGCAGGAACACAGCAAGAGTAGGGAGGTGGCTGGGAGAAGGGGGAAGAACAAGCAGGGGTGGGCACAGAGGTGCCTACAGCCGGACTAGCTACCTTGTCACCCAAACCTGCCCTATTTCAGCACCCTCGGGAGCACTCTAGACTTTGCTCATACTTATTGCCCTAACTTTCGGATTCTCTCTGTCTCTAACTCCACCCTACAGAGCACCCTGCTGCTAGCCAAAAGGTGGTCCCTTTGAACCCACCAGCCACACCTCCGGAGAAAGTGAGGGGGATGGGGGCCATCTGCTTCTATAAGGATCACAGCCTTGGAAACAACGTGGGGCAGTTCTTCTTTGTCCTATAGGGTCCATAGGCGTTACACTGTCTGGACCGCTACGGGTTTGGTTTGCAATTGGGACTCTCTCTCTACACCAACTGCCTCTGCATGCACACCCTCTTTTCCTTACCATCAATGGCTCCGGGAGACTCTGTCTAGGCGTCTTTATATACAAAACCTTTCATCTGGCCCTGCCGACCTCTCCCTCCACCCCTGCCCTGAAAAACTCACTGCCTGCGAGTTATGGCTGACCCAAGAACCCTATGGAACAGAGCAGAACTTTTCCTGTGGGTTTCCAAGGCTGTTGAACTCTTCAGGGTAGTAGAAACTCACCTCCTCCCGCGGAGCAGCTGGTCGCTTCGCCACCATTCCCCAAATACCTCGTCCTCACTCACCCCCCAACCTCGGCCCGAGGGCCCGCTCCTCTAATGAGCCCCTCCCCTGGATTACTGGGCCAACTCCTGCACATCATCCTGCCTGGGGGCCCCTCCTCTGGCTGGTCCATCCCTCGAATTGAATTCTCTAGATCTGCGCTGGGAGGGTCTCCGTTGGGGAAAGGGCCCCCCCTCAATCCCGGGGCGGCGTCGGGAGGGGCCACACCGGGCGGGGAAGCGGCGGGACTCACGTCCATGGGGCGGGGGGCGGCGCCGGTCCGTCCCGGAGCTGCAGGGGGAACAGGAGCCGGACCTCAGAGGCTGGGAGGGGCATTGAACTGGAGCGCCCACTCTTTCTCCCGCGGGGAGAGGG